GAGCACTACTGATGCCATTTTTGCTCTGAGAATGTTAATGGAGAAGTATAGAGATGGTTGGAAGGAGCTGCATTGCGTCTTTGTGGATTTAGAGAAAGTGTGCAGAGAGAGGAGCTATGGTACTGTATGAGGATGTCAGGAGTGGCAGAGAAGTATGTCAGAGTAGTTCAGGATATGTATGAGAGGAGTACAACTGTAGCGAGATGTGCTGTAGGTCAGACAGAGGAGTTCAAGGTGGAGGTGGGGCTACATCAAGGATCGGCTTAGAGTCCCTTCTTGTTTGCTATGGTGATGGACAGGTTGACAGATGAGGTCAGACGAAAATCTCCATGGACAATGATGTTTGCAAATGACATTGTGATCTGTAGTGAGAGCAGAGAGCAGGTGGAGGTCTGCTCTGGAAAGAAGAGGAATGAAAGTCAGCCGTGGTAAGACAGAATACATGTGTATGAACGAGAGGGAGGGAAGTGGAAGTGTGATTATCAAAAGAATTGACTATTAATTTGATGACAGTCAATCAGTTGTTTTAGCTGAGTATACATGGTTGTAGTATTTGAACATGAAGCTGTCCACAATTTCAAATCTAGTCAGTTTTTAAAATATGGTTCCCTTTAGACTGAAAAACTCTTTCTTTCCCTCTGCCATCAGACTCCTAAACAGCCGACAGGAGTTTATTACCAGGAAATACGTTATGTTTTTATTATATTGCTGCATTTGCTGCTTAAAGTGCCTTAGATTTTGTGTTATTTATTTATCTACTTTATATTTCATTTGTATTTTGTGGCATTCATGTGGACGGCAAAGAAAGAATTTCATTGTACAGGGAAACATGTTTCCTAACTGTGTATATGACAAATAAACAGTTTGACCTTGGTAGAAGGATGTTGGAGATGGAGCTACCAGGCAAGAGGTCAAGAGGAAGGCCAAAGAGGAAATTATATGGATGTGCTAAATGAGGACATGAGGTTGCAGTACTTGGGGCGAGTGTAGAGGCTACCGAGGAGGGGGAGGAGGAGGAGGTCCACACGCCTATGCAGTAGGTGGCGGTAATGCACCATGTTTAGTTTGCCAACCGCCATTAAACACCAGGAAGAAGAGGGAGAAGAAGAAGTAGAAACAGAGACTGTAGCAGGTGGTGTAGAACACACAGTAGAGAAATGAGGTGCCTTGTCAAAGCCGTGTTACTGTTTCTTTTGGTGGGACACGTCAGGAGTTGGGATGACGGTACGTTCTCCTTCACGTCTGTTGTAATGTTCTGTTTGTTTTTACAATCAGCCGCCCTGTTTAGGAAATGTTAATAACCGATTGAAGAGCGGCCACGAACCGAGCAAACAACACCACCACTTCCGCCCACAGCCATCATATCTGAAACAAAACTCAGAGTTTACACTCGGCAGTAGGGGGAATTTTGTTGGAAGTCACACTTTTCCTTTTAATATGAATCTCTCAAAAATTATATCCTTAATAGATTTCCATGTATATTGGAAGCATAAAGTGACAGGTAAGGGTGTTTTCACACCAAGAGCGACGCAAATAAACGATACGAAATAGATCATTTTTGGAGGCGATTAAACACACAACATACACTGACTTTATTATATGTTTGTTACAGAGGTCATAGTTGAAAGGTGATGTTCTGGGCAACATTATATTTCGATGTGCATCTATATTTTTATCCTCCCCAGCTACATAGTTCAGAAGGTCAGAATATTAGAAACACATTTGAATATAAAGTAGTCCAGTACAGCACCAGCTTTAACAATGACCTTGATAATAAACATATAATCGAATTTATACATTTAAGACAGTTGCGCCAGAAACTGAAATAGTTTGAGCTTCATAAACACAGGTGTTAAGGTGGATGTGTTGCATTGAATTGCACACAATTGTACAGGTGTACCTGATAAAGTGGCTGATGAGTGCATATGCACACCCACTGACTGTATATAAGAGATGGACAAACCCACAGATATATGAGGTGTGATTATAATACAGGATGTTTAGTTAATTTAAAAATGCAATTCTCATATCAAAACATCTGCATTGTAAAATGGCTGCCATAATACATAATTACAACGAACACAAGTTAAAAGATTAAATGCATATTTTGGCAGGCTGCACGGTTCTTTTTCAATTACATTTCAAGTGAAATGATCATATATTCCCTCAGATTGAATTTCACTTTATTTACACACAGTATTTATACACACTATGTATGTGAAGGGTTGTGTGGAGTTGCAGTTTAACAGTTATATATTCTGATAAACCAGTCTCACAGTTGTGTGTAACTGCATCAAGAAATGACTGAGAGGTGCATAGCCTATAGAAGGAATTTACCTGTGCAACTAACTGTGTACACGTCATCTGGAACAGAGCATATGAGCGGATTGGAGCAGTGAGAATTTCGGCTCCTCAGTCATGGAGCTGTTCACCCACTCTCAAAGCCTCACCAGGCTGCTCTGCTCATTATTGCTCAGTGCTCTACTCAGATTGCATCCTGCTCTACTTAGATCACACCCACTCACTCAAAAAAGGGGAAATAATCTGCATGTATTTCACTTTTAGCTTAAACTGTAGCCTTACATCCCAAAGAACAACTACTACTTTTTTTCCAAATAGAAATGGTTTATTACAAATTAGTTAGGTGTACGTAACAAGGAATATAACACAAAAAGTCATATATAAAAATCAATGAATTAAGTACAATATTAAGTAATTTGATTTTCTCCTCCATAGATAGGTAAACAACAGTATATGTACTGATCAAAGCTGGTAATTGAGAAACCCCATATTTTAACTGGCATAATGCTGATTTAGTAACTTCTCCAGCCTGACAACAATTCTCTCTAATGTTACAGAAATAAGGCATTAACAGACATGCAATGTGTTTTTTTTTAAACTTACCATTACGTCCCACCAAGTATTGAAACCTTCAAGGTCAGTACAATAAAACCAACCAGTAATCACTGCGTCCTCCCTGATAAATTTCTCACGTTATAGGCAATTACATATATTCACAACAGATAAAGGTGGACTGACAATAATATTATGGATAGATAGAATCCTCTCACCAACCCACAACACATCACATGCGGCAAACACACTGGCCTCAAGCAATCAAAACAAACAGGTACTGTGCTCCAGGCGGCCTTCTCCCTTGACCTATTGGGGTGAGTGGATAGAGGAGAGAAAGAAGAAAAGAAAAGCAACAACACACAACAAACACAGCTCTCCCAACGGGCATCCGGCAACTTGACCAATCCACAAAAAAACCACAGTACAACAAAAACAACTGGGCAGTATTAAAACCCCAGTACAACACATGAAACAGAAAGATGATATCAAATGAATGTGTAAAATGCAATGAAACAAGACATAACAAAATATAATGAGGATGAGAAACACAATGGGGTGCAAACTCATTCATTGAGAAATCCTCATACATACCTCCTCGAAATAAGCTTAAAATCCAAAACAGCTTTCTTTTTTTTTTCTTAAAAAGATTAGTATTACCTCCTCTCACTCTAGGCATGATTGCCTCTGTGCTTGTGAAAAATAATAACACAAGCATCCACTACTTAAATTTTTTAAATAACATCACAACTACAGCTACATGTTGCTTCATAGCTAAGAAAAAAAACTTATGTAAACTATAGCTCTCCCTTCATACTGTTAAATGGAAAAGTCAGTTTAAAAAACTAGAAGAGAAACACCAAAGTGCTGGATATTTACATTTTGAGATGAAAATCTAAAAGTCCTCTCATCTAAAACTTAAGTGGCTTACTGCTGAATTGAAATGTGACCTCTGACCCAAATTATTGAAAATTTCAGTGCCATTGTTTTTTTCTTCTTCTAGGGATTGAATTTTAATGAATCTGTCAACCAATCCATGTGACAGACAATCCCCTTCTACTGTACATTGGTTCTAACCTGCTAGCATTCCTTTTAATGGCTTCACTCTGATAAGATACCTTTGAGAAATGCTTAAGGCTGTAATGAATTGCTTTGTTACTGGCTAATACATAATTTACTAATTTTATAAGTCATTCATAAGATCAGTTTTTTTTGCTAGGATGACACTTGTATTTTTAGCTCTTTAATTCATTAGGGAGACATCTCCAGTGCACTCCATTTAGAAACTGATTATTAGCATTTGCAACTGCTAACTTTTTCTCCTATCTCTACTACAGGCAGTGTGCTGTTGCGTGACATCCAGGTGTTGACTTTGTACAAGGGGCAGTACACCACAGCGAGGCGTTCGAGCCCCATACCTCAGCTGCAGTGTGTTGGAGGCTCAGCGGGCTGCCAGGCCTTCATTCCAGAGGTGGTACAGTGTCAGAACAAAGGCTGGAACGGAGTGGATGTACAGGTGAGGACAGAATGGTGAAGGAGTAGGGCTCCACTTGTTTATTCATTTGCAGTTGGTCAAAAAAATGTCACTGAAAAAAAATACTATCCTCCAAGTTCAAGTTGATATGTTCAAATACCTCATTTTATCTGACTAGCAGTCTCGAACCCAAAGATGTTCAGTTTACTATCACATAACAAGAAGAAAAACCACAAGTGATAATTTTTAGGAACCATAACCTGTACATTTTGCTTATAATGACATAATTGACTAATTGATTATCAAAAGAATTGACTATTAATTTGATGACAGTCAGTTGTTTTAGCCGAGTATGCATGGTTGTAGTATTTGACCATGAAGCTGTCCACAATTTCAAATCTAGTCAGTTTTTAAAATATGGTTCCCTTTAGACTGAAAAACTCTTTCTTTCCCTCTGCCATCAGACTCCTAAACAGCTGACAGGAGTTTATTACCAGGAAATACGTCATGTACTGTTGGCCTGTACTGTTTAGTTTGCACATGCATAATTGCACATTGACTGTTGACTGCTGCACATGCTGCTCCCATGGAGGATGCATTCTCTTATTATATTCTTATATATTTTTATTATATCTCTGCATTTGCTGCTTAAAGTGCCTTAGATTTTGTGTTACTTATTCATCTACTTTATATTTCATTTGTATTTTGTGGCATTCATGTGGACGGCAAAGAAAGAATTTCATTGTACAGGGAAACACGTTTACTAAGTGTGCATATGACAAATAAACACTTTGACCTTTGGCCGAAGTCTGTTGGCCTTTAATATTATAGTCTGGTATGGTAATATGTCAGTAGCCACAGAAAACAAACTGGCAAAAATTGTTAAAACTGCTGGAAAAAATTATTGGTTGACCAGAAACCCCTTTGGATTTGTTATATGAAATGGTCATGTGCAGGTAAGCTCGGTCTATTGTGGCCGATCCAAAATACCCTCTGTATTCGGTGTTTGAACCGATGCCCTTAGCATGATGACACAGGGTACCGCTAGCAATTAAAAAGATATATAAAGGTTCATTTGTGCCAAAAGCATATTTGTTTTTTTGTGATTACTTAGTTTTATTGTTCTGAGTGATTTTTATATATTTTAGTGATATGCTTTGATGGTTTATGTTGTTTTTAGCAATATGTTACTTTGTCTTTTTATGAGATGTGTCTTGAGTGTGTACTTGTGGTGTGGGGAGCCAAAGACAAGTTTCCACCATGGTGGATCATAAATTAAATTGAACTGAATTGAATTGAATTGAACCTTCTTGCTGTGAGACAACAGCTCTAACCATTGCTCCAACATGCTGCCTGTGTGAGAATATGTAAGATTAAAATAAGGTTTTGAATGATGTGGTCTCTGGGTTTAATTGTCCTCTCTCCTCTTCACAGTGGGAGTGTAAGACTGATATGGATAATTCATATCGATTTGGTCGGATTGAGGTGAGCTGTGAAGGCTATAGCCATCCTGCTGATGCTTACATACTGAAGGGCTCCTGTGGACTGGAATACACATTGGAACTGACTGAAGAGGGCCGCAGGAGGATAAAAGGCAGCTGGGGCTCCCACAGTGAATTTAAGGGATTTGGAGGTTAGAGGATGGAGGTATGAGATTGACTTCACACACTGACTAGATATTTAGAAATGAGATTTTTCTGTTTGTCTCAGGTCTTTGGGGCTTGGCCTCTAGTTTCTTCAGCAGTTTCTCTGGAAGCAAGTATCAACATCAGCAGCAGAGCCATCAGAGTTCCACAGGCTTTGGGGACTCAGGAGGTCTCTTGGTGATTGCTGGGCTTATGCTATTAGCGTACTGCATCTACAAACTGTTCCTGAGCGGGAACATGCCCCAGTGGGAGCAGGACAGGGCACAGGCTGGGTACCCCAGAGATAATTACCACGACTCCACAGGACCACCACCCCCAGGATTCAAACCTGACTTCACAGGTAGTTAAGCATAGCAGTGGTCTGATTGCAGTGCAGATTCTGTCTGTTTCTCTTCTCTCAAACAAATAACTGGATGTGGGTTGTCACACTGTAGAATGAAATAAGATAATTACCTTGCTGAAGTCTGTAATCTGTTCATCTTTTCTGTCAGGCTGTCCTGGTGCGAACCCAGGATACGGTTTTCATAGCGACTACACTCACAGAAAACAGTACCCAGGAGGTCGAGATGCTCCTAGCACTGGCAGAGGCTTCTGGACTGGCATGGGGGCAGGAGGGGTGCTGGGATATCTTTTTGGTCAGAGGTTAGTTAAGAAATGGTGAAAGAGATGAGAGAACATTATTCCTTGTAGGGGAAATTACTATACTTATGAAAATGAATATCAGTTTTGAATATTCAAATACCTTGTTAGATTAGGGCACAAGATGGTTATAGTTCCATCAAACTATTAAACAATTAGAGTAATTAAGTCAGTCTAAGTCTGAAATCAGGGAATCCTACCAGTTCAGTGACCCCTTTACTGAAAATAGGAGAGACCCAAAATGACATAAGAAGCCAGTTATAAGATAAATATTTTTATTTACAATATGTACACAGGGAAAATGATCCGGATGAGAGGGGTAATTCAAATGGTATATTTGTGAATGTTTTGATGAATGAATGACCAGTCTGTTGTTAGCGATGGAAGATGGTTATTCTGGCCAAAAATTGAGCTAGATTCTAGATCTAAATTCTGGGCTTTAATTGCGAATATGGAGAGGAAAAATAACTGTTGATTGCTATAGGTTAGAGACTTTAATCTGATAACTAATAACTACAGTATTCATGAGACACATGTTAGCCAGAGTGCACTTATCTATTAGCAGGAGTTAACCATTAACTTTGGAGATTCCACATGGCCAGGAGGACAGAAGCTCTGGTTTGGAGGCTCTTTGGGCCAGAGTCAAACAGAATCTGCAGTTCCGAAATGGTCTCGTGCTGAAGACTCATGACAGTCTGTCATCACCAGGTTTCTGGGCTTGCTCTTATGAGTGGAGCTGCTTCTAAGTTGGCCAGTTCTTCAGAAATACTGGCTTCACCAGGGTCCTTCTGTTCTTTGGCTGTTTATAGATGTCTTGCCAAAAACTTGTATTTAATTTAAGCTGATCATTGAAGAATCGTTCTGGTAGTGTCTCTGGAGTATAACAAAGGATTCGGCTTAAATAAAACTTGCTCTCAGGTTTGCTACAAAAAATTTCTTTGTCTTAGACTTTCATCTAAACATAGAGGAGTAAAGTTTTCCTGTGTGCTTCCTGTTGGTTTGTAAAATAAACGCAGAATCAACTGTGCATTGCTAAATAATAAAAGCACTTCTTGTGGCGATGTGAGCAAAAACACAAAAACACAGACAAGACACCCTGAGCAGGCTCGAAGTTTTCTTGTTTATTCTCTGTTTCTGAATGACACTTTTTCTGAATGAGACGAAGGAGGGGTAGTGACTTACATAGGCGTGCGCCGGCTAGAGCATAGACTTCGTCTGAATGGCTCAGAACTTTGCAGGCCCGGTCTTCTGACTGGTTGAGATTCTTGTGGCTATGACAATGATTTCTGATTGGTTCTTTGAAGGCGCAGTGGTGAAAGGTACCATGGAAAACTTGTATCACTTCCATTTATACATTTTGGTTCACATTAATGTAACTTCAGTTTTGGAATCATTTCTACTGTTATGAATTAAGGAGGAATTCTTTGCAGTGACTAATTATTTATGTCCAGACATCATCATCTTGACTCAGATATTTTCAACCTTTTAATAGATATTTGACACAACTTTTGGTTAACAAAATTTCATATTTCCAAACATTTCTTTGTCCAAAAGAGAGAGTGTGTCTTAAGCCAGTTTTATAACACTTTTCACATTCCAGTGTGGAGACAAGGGGAGTTCTCTTCACATTCCTGTGTTTCGTTATCCTGGAAACTGATCAGATAAGATCTTGGACTGGTTTGAGTTCATTTAAACATATTGTCTAAGGTCAGAGGTGAGAGTCCAAGATGTGCATTCTAATGCAGTAAAGTCACAAAGAGAGGGGGTTTCGGGCTTCTGGAGACAGGATTTGGGCTCTCGATATGATAAGGAGAGAGACAGTCCAGACAGTAGTTTGCATGTAGCAGTCTTCAGCTGGCTCTCAGTGCCTAGAATTAAAGTCTAATTTATTAATTATGAATATTCTGAGTCCCTCAGAATAAAAGATCACTTCCAAAATGTCTGCTTCAGACTTGTGGACACTACCTCCTCTTCCATTTCACTCAGCTTATTCAGGTTATATATGTTTATGTTTTACAGAACCCAGCCTTACAACTACAACTATTCCCGTTACACTGATAACAGACCTCCTCCTGCTGTAGACTCCTCCTCCTCTGGGACACGCACTGCTTCAGGTATGTTACAGTATCAATGTTAAGCTGTTTCCACTGTCAGAACCTTATATATGTGTATATATACAGCTAAGATGAGCAGGCACATGGCTCAATACATGAGCAGCGCCCAGAAGGAAATTGGTAGTAACACCAGAGGAGCAAAGCACCAGCTACTGGTTGACAAAGTAGTCACTCGAGACTGCAAGACCAGACATAACAACCTGTGCACTGCCTGGATTGACTACAAGAAAGCCTATGACTCAGTGCCTCATACATGGATCCTGGAATGCTTGGAACTGTACAACATCAACAGGACTCTAAGAGCCTTCATCAAGAACTCAATGGGAATGTGGAAAACAACCCTAGAGGCCAACTTCAAGCCAACATCAAGTGCGGTATCTACCAAGGAGATGATCTGTCCCTGCTGCTGTGCTGCATACAGCTGAACCCCCTCAGCCAGATCATCACCAAGAGTGGTTACGGATACCAACTGCGGAATGGAGCAACCATCAGCCACTTCCTCTACATGGATGACATCAAGCTGTATGCCACGAGTGAATGAGACATCGACTCACTGATCTACAGCCAGGACGTTGGAATGTCACTCGAACTGGATAAGTGTGGTCGAATGGTAACAACGAGAGGGAAGGTAGTCAGAACTGAGGGGATTGTACTACCAGAAGGCAACATAGCAGATGTTGAGGACAGCTACAAGTACCTTGGGATCCCGCAGGCAAATAGGAACCATGAAGAGGCCGCAAGGCCTGCCGCAGCTACCAAGTACCTGCAACCTCTGCACGGTATGAACCGGAAGAAGTGGCTGATATCGAAAAATCCTAACAGTGGCTGGACAAAGCTGGACTGAAAGACAGCACAGAGGCACTAATCCTGGCAGCACAGGAACAGGCTCTAAGTACCAGATCAATAGAAGCCGGGGTCTACCATACCAGGCAGGACCCCGGGTACAGGCTATGCACAGGTGTCCCTGAGACAATCCAGCACATAACACTGGGGTGCAAGATGCTAGCAGGCAGGGCATACGTGGAACCCCATAACCAAGTGGCTGGCATAGTGTACAGAAACATCTGTGCTGAGTACAGGCTGGAAGTCCAAAAGTCAAAATGGGATACAAAATGGGTTTGAAAATGACCAAGCTAAGATCCTGTGGGACTTACAGATACAACCACAGGGGGCGACTGTGGTTTGGTGGGTAGAGCAGCCATCTCTCAGCTGGAGGGTCGGAGGTTTGAATTCTGATGCCTGCAGTCCATGTGTCGAAGTGTCCTTGGGCAAGACACTGAATCCCCAAGTTGCCCCCGATGGTTAGAGCCATCGGTTGAGTTGGCGCCGCAGATGGCTGCCTCGGTTCTGTACCGGAAACAAATTCCTTGTGTGTAACATACTTGGCCAATAAAGGTGATTATCCTTATCCTTATTATACAAACTGACAAACTGGTAATGGCCAACCAACCGGATGTAGTAGTGGTGGACAAACAGAAGAAGAAGGCCGTAGTGATAGATGTAGCAATCCCAAGCGATGGCAACATTAGGAAGAAGGAACACGAGAAGCTCGAGAAATACCAAGGGCTGAAAGAAGAGCTAGAAAAGATGTGGAAGGTGAAGGCACAAGTGGTCCCCGTGGTAATAGGAACATTGGGGGCTGTGACCCCCAAACTGGGAGAGTGGCTCCAACAGAACCCAGGAACAACATCTGAGATCTCTGTCCAGAAGACTGGTGGTGATTCCAAATTTCTAACATTTGAGAAAGATGGAGGCTGCCATGCTCTTGGGCACTTTCAACACTGCAGAAATATCCTTGTATCTTTCCCCAGATCTGTGTCTTGACAAAGTCCTGTCTCGCAGGTCTGGCGACAGCTCTCTCGACCTCATAGCTTTGTTTTCACTCTGGCATGCACCATCAAGCATAAGCATAAACTTTATTGCCAAGTATTATCAGAAATACAAGGAATTTGACTCCAGCCCAATGCCCAATGAATGTTCACAGCAATAAAAACAAAATATACAAGTTTAAAAAGCACAAGTTAAAAGAGCAAACATAGACTAGCTGTTCAAGAGTGCAGTAGTCTTGGGGAAGAAATTGTTTCTGTGTCTGGCTGTCTTGGTGAACAGTGACCTGTAGCGCCATCCAGAGGGGAGGAGTGCAAAGAGTTTGTGTCCAAGGTGTGAGGGGTCTGCAGAAATCCTCTCTGTCCTCCTTTTGACCCATGAGGTGTACAGGTCCTACATGGAGGCCAGGCTGGCACCGATGATTTTCTCTACAGTCCTGACTGTCCACTGGAGTCTGTTCCTGTCCTGTTTGGTTGCCGAGCCAAACCAGACAGAGATGGAAGTGCACAGAACAGACTCGATGATTCCCCTGTAGAACTGAATCAAAAGCTCCTGAGGAAGGTTGAATTTCCTGAGCTGGCACAAGAAGTACATCCTCTGCTGTGCCTTTTTAATGATGGTGCTGATGTTGGTTGTTCACTTCACGTCCCAGAGATTGTGGAGCCCGGGAACTTGTAGGACTCCATGATTGAAACAGTGCTGCTGAATATAGTGAGCAGAGATAGGGTGTGGGAGCTCCTCCTAAAATCCACTATCACCTCCACTGTCTTCCCTGTGTTCAGCTCCAGGTTGTTACGACTGCACCAAAGGGCCATCTATTCAACCTCCAATCTGTAGGCCAACTCGTAACCAGCTGAAAAGCCTCGTCAGGGATTGAGTCATTGAGCCACGTTTCCACAAAGCATAATGCCGCAGAATGTGAAAAATCCGAGTTAGTCCAATTGACGTGCAGCAGTTTGTCCATTTTGTTAGCTAGGGAATGGAGATTAGCTAGATGTATTGCTGGGAGCCTGCCTTCGTAGCCTTACGAGGGTGCTGGCCCTTCTCCCCCACTTCCTGAAAACAGCTGCTGCTCTGCCATCTAAAATGTTCAAACAGCTTCCACTATCAATGAAAACTGAGGAGAAAATGTCCAGACTGAGCTGTTGGATGTTCAGAAGTTCGTCCCTAGTAAAAGTAATCCAGGCAGGGTTGGAGAAAACCGGTAAGAACAACAGCAAAAACACACGGGAGCACACGCCTGAAGCAACCCTGGTCAGCGCCGTGACAGTTCATTCATTTGGGAGTGTTACTGCCAACTGTGAGATCTTATATAGACAGGCATGTGCCATTCCTAATTATATCCAAAGTATTAAATTGGACACAGGTGGACTCTATTTAAAGTGTAGAAGCATCTCAACAACCACTGATAGGGGTAGGATGCACCAGAGCTCAGTTGCAAGTGTCGTAACGAAAGGTCTGAATACTTTTCGTACTGACTTTTGTGAATGTGCTGTTCATTAGCATCCTTGCTGGCTTTCTATAGGTCAGACTGGCTGATTAACATTTTTATTTGTTTGTCAGGTTTTGGGGGAACCAAGAGAAGATAGAAGCTGTGGAAGTGGACAGATTCTCTACTGCGACAGCAATTAAACTGGTGAACTATTGAGAGGTGAGCTCAGTGTTTGCTGCTAGCAGGTCAAACATGACAAAAAACACCATGAGAACAGACTTTCCTAATGGTTCCTTTTTTCAGGAGAGCTCACTGAGGTTACAGCTACTGGCAGGAAGCTCTTTTTCTATGAATGTGGCTTGAGCTTTGGCCTAAATGCTTTTTTGTTTGGAAGCACATGATATGAATTTGATGTTTTTAGAAAATGGTGATCTTGCAGTTGTTCACTGGTTTGATCAGCTTCCTGTAGGTGAGATGGACACTTTTCAATGTGAGTCCACTCTTTATAATGTATATGTTTTATTCATGTGGTCTTGTGGAAGGAATTTCTTATACTGTAGAAAGAAGGTCTTTTCTCTTCTTCTTTTCTTGACTTTCTTTGTGGGGCTGTATTCAAATGACACAATGGATAAAATCATGTGAACCTTCTCTGTCAGTCTATTTAACTGCTGCTGAATGGAGGTAATAATTGTAAATGAAATGATTTGACATAGGAAATGAATAAAGGCTCATAAAAAATGTTTTTTGTATGTTAATCCATCTGTCAGTCTCATCGGTGATTTATTTCTCTTTACCAGCTAGACCTCATATCCATGGCTCTACAGTATAAGCATTTCACCAGTGGCGGAAGAAGTACTCAGATCTTTTACTTAAGTAAAAGTAGCAAAACCACAGTATACAAATACTTTGTTACAAGTAAAAGTCCCGCATTCAAAATGTTGCGTAAAAATGTTAAACACAAAAGTATTACCATTAAAATATACTTAAAGTACTAAAAGTACTCATTATACAGACAAATTTATATCATATTATTGGACTACAGTTATTGTTAATGATATATTATAATGTACATCACATTTAATGTTGGAGCTGGTAAAGGTGAAGCTAATGTTAACTACCTTATATGCTTCTAATTTGAAGTACTTTACATACTACTGGGTAGCTTGTGAATCTCTCACTCATCTCTCTCTCATCAATAAAGTCTTATGATTACACTGTGTTTTGTGCTATTAATCACATTCTGAGAAGTAACTACTAATTAAAGTTCTCAAATGTAGTGAGTGAAAAGTACAATATTTTTTTTATCTAAAAAGTAGTAATGTCAAAGTATGAAGTAGCAGAAAATGAAAGTCAAGTACTCAAAATTGTACTTAAGTACAGACCTTTAGTAAGTATACATAGTTACTTTACACCTCTGCATCCTACTTGCATATGAAAGTAAAAATCAGTGTGTGACAGTGAAAAATTATTTGGGCATGACTCTTGAGTTCCTTGACTTCCATTTGTAAGGACTGGGAGCATTTTGTCAACCTACTCAAAAGCTGCATTTCCACTGTCAGACCTAATGAGTGGTATACACCGTACTTCCCTTAACTGTCACTTAGCATAACCTCATGCATAGGTGCCAAAAGGTAGGGACAATTGTAGGGGCCCAGGACTAATGGACCCACAAAATACATATACAACCATAGGCTTGCTGCCTATGGTTGTATATTTTAGCAGTAAACTTTACAAATACAATTTAGAAGCCAAAGGTATTTTTGTGAATGGTTATATTCCAATCTAAGATGGACCAGTCCACACAGACACCCCTCATCGTTCAGGCTGTTTTCCTCAAATCTGAGGAAAAACTTGATAACCCCATTAAAGCATACAAGAGTAAAACATAATTCTGTCTATTCTACTGTTATATTTTAATGAACAATGAAAAACATAATAAATATACATACTGTTATAACTATTTATATATTAAATTTATGAAAGTGTGGGCACCAGGCCATATATTTCTTAATTTGAAAGGCAAGGCCATTTGACCTTAAATACCATACATATTCAGAGGGCACAAAGGCCATTTGAGTGGGCACTAAGGCTCATAGACAAATGATGTATATGTGTGTATAATTTGGATGGGGTATTCAGGTGTAACAGATCGTAGTTGATCCGTGGTCTGTACATATCACCCCATGGTTTGGGATACATGTGAACTGCAGATTAATTGCCAGTAAGACGCTACCTTGCTATCCCTGGCAATTCAGTTTCTAGCAAAAGCGAGATGCTGTTCTGCACATTGGCACGTTAGGCTCACTGGGAACCTAACGAGAATTTGAAGATCTGATGGGGTGATTGCACTTTGGTTTTCCACTGCATTTTCAATGTCTGTAGTTCTCTCTCTCTCTCACTATCCCCTTGCTCACTACATTTTCAAGGCAGGATTGGTGCACCTTTATTCCATCTTGTTTTCTGTCTGTAAGGCACAAAGCTGGAATGGCGGGCCATTTTTGTTCCACCTCTGGTCCGCCTTAGGAGATAGTACCAGAGGCGAAACAAAGGGAGATGCTCTCTGTGTAGAAAGGGTGAGCAGGCAGTCCGGAACAAAGTGCTACATTTTGATGACGTAATATGCGCTTGACACTATCACCAGCGTTTCAAGTCTGCATGCCTGGTTTTTAGAGGCAAGATGGTGGAGTGAGTAGCCAAACTTTTTTCAATGTCACTTTTTCGACTGCGTCCAGTTTTGTGGATATATTTTCCCTCCTGCTGCACTGTGACCAGAGGATGTGGAAAAAAAATACAGGGCCTGAGGTTACTGCATGTCTGGGAATGTTCCTGTACAGGGACTCACTGTTTTACCTGACCGGGTCTAACCTACATGTAACCAGCCAGTGAAGCCACTGCCGCAGTTAGTGATAAGCTCATCAATGCTGGATTCCCCTGGAGCACAGTACCTGTTTGTTTTGAATGCTTGAGGCCAGTGTGTCTGCTGCGTGTGATGTGTTGATGGTTATCGAGTGAATTAATGACCCATGCTACCTGTTGAAATTAATTTCACTACTCTGGGACTGTATGTGGTCGGATGGGGGAAGATGCAGCGACCACCAGTTGGATTTACCGACCTTGGAGCTACTTGAAAGGGAATGTTTCCACTACTCGGTGGGATGTAATGGTAAGTTTAAAAAAACACACGTTGCATGTCTGTTAATACCTTGTTTTATCATTCTGAAATAATTACAGACTATTTGGTGTTATGATGGGTACAAAGCTAATCTAGAGGTACCCAAGATTAAACATTAAATGGCTGGAAATTAGCAAAATGAGCATGCCATGGGCACTTTAAACATATCAGTGTGATAACTGTTCCAGACCTTTTACATGTCTTTTTGTTTTCATTGTATGTATTGTATCTAATTTTAACAGTTTTATTTTCATTTTGGCCTAACTGATTTTATTTCGATTTTAATGCTTATTGTTTTAGTGTTGTCGCTGTTTTTCTTTTCCTACAGTGCCTTGCGAAAGTATTCGGCCCCCTTGAACTTTGCGACCTTTTGCCACATTTCAGACTTCAAACATAAAGATATAAAACTGTAATTTTTTGTGAAGAATCAACAACAAGTGGGACACAATCATGAAGTGGAACGAAATTTATTGGATATTTCAAACTTTTCTAACAAATAAAAAACTGAAAAATTGGGCGTGCAAAATTATTCAAATCCACATAAGGGATGACGGCAACATTCATAGATCCTGGAATGCACAATGAGGGGCAATGTTCATTCCTATTACAGAGGCCCACTGAAATTTTTTTGAGGAAAAGCTGTGTTAGACTGCATATTGTTTATAGTAAAGTATTTTTATATACAAATATAAAAATGAAAATGTTTCTGGAGTGGGACTTTAATTAATTATAGAAGTTGTGCAGAAGCTGCCCATAGCTCTACACAGTGATCCATGTGTGTACTGTATGTGTTTCTATGCTGCTCCAAATGAGTCTGTTCTGGTTCAACTTGTCTTATTAAATGAGCTTAAAAATAAAGTGACACCTTAGTTATAAAACACTGAGCAGGCTGTAACACACAAGAGTGTGTATTTTTGTGTGAATGCATGATTGATGGAGGCGGAACCCCAGGTT